TACCTGTCAGATCTATGGATAAAGGAAGAATTTATGACCAAACAAGAGAAAGCATTACAAGATGTAAAATGGATAATTTTTACTACATTCAATTAAAAAGTTTTTGCACAAACAAAACCAATGCAGCCAAGATTAGAAGTAAAGCAGGAAACTGGTGGGGGGGAGGGGAGGAAGGGGTTTAACAGCAAGTTTCTCTGACAAAAACCTCATTTCTCAAATATATAGAGAACTGAATCAAATTTATAAGAATATGAATCATTCCTCAATTGATAAACATCAAAGGATATGAACAGGCAGCTTTCAGAAGAAATCAAAGCTATCTATAGTCACATGAAAAAATGCTCTAAATCACTATTAATTAAGAAATGCAAATTAAAACAACTCTGAGATACCACCTCATATCTATCAGATTGGCTAATATGACAGAAAAAGAAAATTACAAATGTTGGAGGAGATATGGAAAAAACTGAGACACTAATTCACTGTTGGTGGAGTTGTGAACGGATCCAACCATTATGAAGAGCAATTGGAACTATGTCCAAAGGGCTACAAAACCATGTATACACTTTGACCCAACAATATCACTACTAGGTCTGTATCCCAGAGAGATTAAAGCAAAAGGAAAAGGATCTATATGTACAAAAATACTTATGGCAGCTCCTTTTGTAGTGGCAATTGGAAATTGAGGGGATGCCCATCAATTGGGGAATGGCTGAACAAGTCTTAATATATGATTTTGATGGAATACTACTGTGCTATAAGAAATGACAAGCATGATGCTTTCAGAAAAACCTGAGAAGACTTACCATGAACTGATGCAGACTGAAGTGAGTAGAACCAGGAGAACATTACACATAGTAATAGAAATACTGTATGATGGTCAACTGTGATTGACTTAGCTATTCTCAGCAATATAATGATCCAAGACAATTCCGAAGGACTTATGATGAAAAATGCTATCCCACCTCTAGTGAAAGAACTGATGGAGTGTGAATGCAGATTGAAGCATACTTTTTTTCACTTTTTCTTTTTTTTTGTCTGTTTTCTTTTGCAACATGGCTAATATGGAAATGTTTTGCATGACTACACATGTATAATCTATATCAAATAGACTGCCTTCTCAATGAGAGGGGAAGGCAAGGGAGGGAGAGGATTTAACTCAAAATTTAAAAAAAAGAATGTTAAAAAATGTTTACATGTAATTGAGAAAAAATTAAAATTATATGTTAAAAAAAGAGTTCAGAAATAATCGAGGGACTGTTAATCCATGTTATGAAAACCAGCATGGTACTGTACCATGTAATCAGAAGACCTGGTTCTACCATTTATTAATTAGCCTTATAAACTTGGATGAATCACTTCTAAGCCTATTTTCTTATCTGTAAGATGGGATCAATGCCACCTGTTCTGACTTCCTAGGTTATTGTGAGGCTCTGATGAGGGTATGTATGGAAAAAAAGTTTTTAATTTACTAAGTGGTATTATTTTTCTGACAAAATTGAAAGGGAGTTATTGCCTGCGTAGCAGGGTTTTGGACAACTATCCTCACATGTGGGTTTCACATGCACGTACTAGTTGACAGTCACCAGGAGCCTCTACTTCCCTCTTATCCTGCTACTTAATTCATTACCAGATTATTTCTCATCTTGGGTTGTAAGGCAATCAAGAGGTTCTGACCATACCTCATAAATTAATTGAAATGTATAATTTCTCTCATTAATTAATTGGTTAGCTCTAAACCCCTACCTCACTAAACAAAAAATCCTCTTTTCCCATAAGCCTTTTCTCTTCTTTCAAACTCCCTAATCTCACAGGTTTAAATACCAATATCACTAGCTATTCATTTTAAAATATAAAATAAATTCATTCTTTCAAGATTTTATTCCCTTTAAAAGATACAGCAACAATATCACAGTCCCTACAGGAGAGGTGATTTAAACTGGAGGAAAAAAAAACTATACATGCATATATAAATAAAATCAAGATAAGTCTAATAATCAGAACCACAGGATACAAGTACAATCATTCTAGCTTTGCCTTTGACTCTGTGATCTTAAAAGAATTATTGTGGCTAAGTGTCTCCATCTGAAACATGGAAATAGTTTTCCTATGCTTTCTAAAGGTGTTAGAAAGACAAAACAAGAGATTATCCCTGCAAGAAATAAATTTGCAGAATAAAATTCCTGTATGAATTCAAGGGTCATTATATAAGTATATGACACGTATCAAAAACAATGGCATTAATATAATGCTTTAGAGTTTGCAAATCATTTTTAAACATATCTTAACTCATTTAAACTTGAGGACAACTGTGTGAGGTAGGTACTACTATCCCTATTTTACAGATAAGAAAGTTGAGCCTTAGAGAAGTTAAGTGTCTCTGTCATAGTCACACAGCCAGTATAGAAAAAGATTCTTCCCCACCCCTGGTCCTGACTCTAAAGAGTACACAAGATATAATTATAAAAAGAGAGGGAGTGTGACTTGTGGGGTATATTAGTGTATCTTTATACTTCATATGTTGTAATTTCTTGACTACCTCTGCAAAATTACAAGTATGATCTGGAACAGATCACAGCTATCACTTTATAACTTTATGGGGCAGGCTTTACAGAGCACTTTCATGGGAATTATCTCACTTCACCCTCAGAAGTAGCACATGAGGTCCCTTAGGTGTTATCACCCTCCTCTTACACTTGACAAAACAGTCTCAGGGAGATTCAGTGAGTCCAAGTTCACAAAGTCCATTAAGTGTCAGAGCCAAGCACAGAATCCAAATGGTCTTCATTGTCTTCTGCCACCATTTTAGCTTTGTGATACCTTGTTCTCTTCTCCAACAAGAGCATGGCCTAGTACGTGCAGAGCAGACCTCAAAGTTAGGAAAATCAGGTTTCAAGGCCCCCTTCTACTTAACCTATGCTGACTGTGCCTGAACCTGGGCAAGCTAAACAACCTCTCCTGGAAACTCTCTAAGACTATAATGGAATAGTTACCGATCTCCATTAGTTTCTCACCAAAAGTTCCTCAATACCGACGAAATAACAGGCCACAAAACACCTCCCCCATCACCTCCCCAACTTCTCCAGCACATTCAGCTCCCCATTGGTGTCAGACAAACAACAAACCCGTTTCCCAGTTCCCTCCAGGGACTCCAAGTATTGAAGATATCCCCAAATTCAATTCAACTTGGACACAATTAAACTTTGCTTGCAAGCAAGTGCTGGGCTTGGTCACAACTCTAGCTAGAGAGAAGCAATTACTTACTGGATTATTGTGAGGCCAAAGTCGGGGACGGGGCGGGAGTGAGTGGCGATCAGCCGCACTCCCCGACTCCAACCACGCTTCTGGGGGAGGAGAAACCAAAGTCCGTTCCACATGCTCACAGCCCCGTACCCCCCAACTTGTTTGGCCCCTCGCTTCCCGATTCAGCTAAAACCCCACCTTCTGCAAGAAGCCTTTCCCAGTCCTGTCTCTATTAGATGTCAGGGGCACAGATGTCTCCCCCCCACCCCCCGCAAACTGGGGGGAGGGGCAGGGACCAAGTTATTCGCCTTTCTTTGTATCCCCCAGAGCTTAGCACGGTGCTGGGCACATACAGTGGGCGCTTCAATAAAAACACTAGCTGACTGACTGACCGACTGGACGAGGCTCAGCCCAGGGCGCTGAGGGGGTGGGGGAGGGGAAGGGGCGAAGAAGGTTATGGAGTCAAAACAGCCTCACTCATCGGACTTCTCGGGCCCCCAGCACCCACTTTCTTTTCACAGGCCTCCCCTGGACGTGCAGAGGGAGGATATAACAACGACAGAGGATGAGAAAGAGAAAAAAAGCTACCCCTCTTCCACCCTCCCGCTACCTCTGCCTCGTGCGGCTGCGCGGGCAGAATGCGGTGAGAGAATAGGGAGGCGGGTCGAGGGATGATGGGTACTGCGCATGTCCGATGTTTGATGCTGGGGAGCCTCGGTGGAGCAGGCGCAATTCAGTTTTTTGAGGGAGGGGAAGAATTGCAGGTATTACCCAACTGATATTTAGATGTCATTAGCATTTTAATGTTTGCAGAATACACCACACCTCTCATTTGAGCCTCCAACCAACACTTTGAGGTGGGAAACTTAATTAATTATTAGACCCACTGGACAGATGAAGAAACTGACGTCGCTTTCCATCACACAGTTAATAAGTTTATTGGTATAAGAAGCCAGGTCTTCGTGACTCCAAAGCCCAGCACCCTTGCCACTCACTCGTACTTAGTAGAGATAGTTACGAACCCTGAGGTGGGTCGGGCCTGAACAGGAGGCTAGGATACTGTTAGTAAGTCGGTCTCCTTCACCTCCTCCGCGCTAGGCTGAGGGGCCTGCTGCCCCGCCCCCGCCTATTGGCGCCGGCTGAAGCCGAGCCTTGAGCCTCGAGCATCGCACCGAGGTTGAGGGTGCACGAGGGAAGGGAGCGCGCGCGACAACACGCCCCCCTCAGGCCCCGCCCCTTTCCTCGCAGCACGCGAGCTGGGCGGGAATCTGCCGAAGAGGGGCGGTGCCTAACCCTTGGACAGTGTAGGGGCAGGGCGGGAGGCTCTCAGAGGTGTGTGGTGGTTTTCCCTGCTGTCTATGGGTTAGTCCATCTGTTCGCTGCTGTCGCCCTCCTGGACCTCGGAACGAACGAGGGCCCGCGTCGGGGACGGTTCTCGAGGACTCAGTGAGCCGGGCCCTGTCCCGAACCGTCCGGGGGCTCCCAAGAACTGCAGGCGCGCGGGGGCGGGAACTGGAGCGAAGGAAACCTTGGGGGCCGCGGACTGCAGGAAGAGCAGCCCGGGGGACGGCGACACCCGGCCCCGCCTCGAGCCCCGGGCCAGCCGCGCAGCGCGCGCGGGGGCCCTTCGCGTTTTCTGCGGCTCTGCAGGTCTCCGGACCTCCCGTCGTGGGAAAGCCGCCTGCGTCCCCTTTCCCCCGTCTCCCCCGGGACCGGCCTAGCCGGGCTCGCCTCCCGCCGCTTCGCCGCCCCGGGGAATGTGTGTGTCGCCGGCGCCGGGCGTCTCTCGGTGTCTGGGCTTCGCCTCCTTGCTCGCCGGCTCGGGCTTCGGAGGGGCCACGACGCTCCCCGGCCGGGCGCCCTCCATGGCAGCCAAGTGGTTCAAGGAGTTGCCGCTGACGCTGAAGACGGTGTCGGAGCGGGCGAAGCCCGGCGGAGGCGGAGGCGGCGGCGCCGGAGGAGGAGGAGGGGGCACGGGAGGAGGGGGCGGCCTGGCTAGCAAACTGCGCAAGAACTCCGAAGCTGGCGGCCCCGGGATGCCCCCGCCGTCCGGCAAGAGCCGCAAGAACTCGGCCGCCGAGCTGGGCAGTTGCAAGGCGGCCGGTTCCGGTCCCGCCAAGGACAGTCGGTTGTCCCGCGACAGCATCCAAGGGATGCTCCAGGCGGCTGCCGGCAAGAGCCGCAAGAACTCCCGTGCCGCAGCCGCAGCCTCAGCCGCAGCCGCCCCCGAGGAGGAGCAGCCCCGCGGCTCGATCAAGAGCACCGGCTGCAGCACCTACATCAACCGGCTCATCAAGGTGGACACCCAGGAGAAGAACGGGAAAAGCTACTCCAGTTCCAGCTCCAGCACCAGCTCCAGCACTTCTTCCTCCCCCTCCTCCCTGGGACCCGAACTGGACAAGGGCAAGGGGATCAAGCAGCAAGATACGGTAAGGAGAAGGATTTCTCTCCCCCAACATTAAAATAATCCCTTCCCTCCTCCGCCCAGTAAATCATCCCTTCCCACCCCCACTCCCATCAAGCCAACCCTTACCCCCATCGAGCCAACCCTTTCTCCCATCAAGCCAACCCTTCCCCCATCAAGCCAACCCTTCCCCCCATCAAACCAACCCTTCCCCACATCAAGCCACCCCTTTCTCTCATCAAGCCAACCCTTACCCCATCAAGCCAGCCCTTCTCCCCATCAAACAAAGCTTTCCTTCCATTAAGCCAACCTTCCCCCCCCATCAAACCAATGCTTCCACCCATCAAGCCAACCTTTTCCCCCATTCAGCCAACCCTTACCCAATCAAACCAACCTCCCCTCAACAAGTCAACCCTCTATTAAATCAGTCCTTTCCCTCAAGACAACCTTTCCTTCCATTAAGCCAACCTTTTCCTCTATCAAATCAACCTTCCCCCTACTACTGAATCACCTGTCCCCCCCCCACCCCACCTCCATGAAATCCTCTGAACATGCTGCCTAATTTGGATGATGGTAGGAGCCTATAACACTTAATCCATGTATCCTTGGAACATTTCTTGTCTTCTTGTTCCCCCACAACCTCATGCATATGTCACTTTTAGAGGACTGAACCCTTACTTGAAAAAAAATTCTAATATTCATTATAACCAAGGAAAGGTAAAAGCTGGACACCTTTAAGAGATGTTTGGATCATTGGTGACATTGTGTTATTCTTATTAGTGCTCAGGAGCTTCACCTTACCCTGTAGTATTATCATTCTGCTGGTAGTTCAAAGCTCTATTTAAATAGAACTCTGCTATTTTGCCAGATGTATCTATCTGCCTGCTGAAAGGTGCTCTGTTAATCTTGTGACTTCGTGTGGGGAGTTTATAGTTAAAGCCTTGATAAAATTAATTTTTTTTAATTTAAAAATTTTTAATTTACCAGCCCAACTCTCTTTGCTAGTATTGGAATCCCCTTTCTTCTCTACAGCTAATGGTTTGAAAAGGGGCATAGATCATACATTTAGAGCTGAAAGAAAGTTGAGTGCAAACCCACCTTCATTTTACAGATGAAGAGCCTGAGGCTCAGAGTAGTTCACCTCACTAAGAAGAGCCTGAGACAGGATTCAAACCAAGGTCTTCCAGCACTGTGTCCACTATACCACACTGCTTTTAAGTCTGATCAGTTTTCAAAACACTCTTAAAGAGATTAAGATTAGAAAGAGCAAAGATATTTTCTGGCCCTCATTATTACATCCTAGTCTGGACTCTGTCCAGGATTAAAGAGCAGTGAAAGTGAGGGATGATCTATTTACAATATTGTGTTAACAAACAATCTTGCATTTTCCTTTTATTGGGTACACTGGCTTCATAGGGGAAGAGATTCCTGAGTTGGAAGAGTCTTAACAGAGGAGTAAATTTTTAACAGCCCCAATTAACAATCCCTTTGGACCTTCTGCCTAATTGGATGATGATAAGAGCCTATAACATGAGGTCCATACAGCTTTGGAACCTTTCTTGTTTGTTCTTGTCTTATTTAACTCTTACAATATTTAGTATTTTACATGAATATGGTTTGTCCTTCTAACTGAAATATAAGGTCCTTGAGGACAGATACTGCATAGCATAGTATTGTATATCTCTTTCTGTGTCTAGCAGAAGTCTACACGTGTAATTTAATTGGCTGTTGATAAAGATTTGTTGAATGGAGGACTTAAGGTGACTGACACACATCTGCTGCTTAAACAGCTAGTCTTAAACAGCCTACTCTGAGCTCTTTAGAGGCCTTACTCATTTCCCCCTCTTTGCTTTCCCTCTTTTCATTCCCATGGGGTAAGAGCTCACCCTTAATGCTCTCCCTCCTCCCCCTCTGCTTCTCAAAGTCATACACTGTGCTGAGTGACCAACACAACTGAAGTCCTTTTTCCTTCATGAAACCTTCCAGTCTGATGTCTCCCTTCCTTCAACTCATCCTACAAATAGAATACCATGATACCATCTAATTCTTCTCTTTCTTTAACTATATTTTAAGTTCCTTGACAGCAGAGACCATGTCTTACATGTTACTCACAGCTTCTAGCAGTGCAGGATGCCTAGGAGGCATTGAGTATTTGGTTTTTGATAGACTGTGGTTGGTAAGCTCAGTTAATTAAAGGAGACCAGAGTAATCAGGTTAGTCGTCATGTGGATGTGCTGTTAAGGTTTTTGATTTGGGTTTTTGATTGGTTGGTTTATTTTTTTTCTATTCCAAGTCCCCAGACCTTGTAGCAAATGCTTTCTTGGGGTTGGAGAGGACATGGAAGAGTGTATAGAGTAGTGCAACTCCACCATCAGTCAACTATCATTTATTAAGTGCTTATTGTGTGCACTGTGCTAAACCAGTTATTAGAAAAAGATTATACTTCTTGCTGATGATAAGACTGTATGGTAGTCCTCATGCATATCAAAGCACATCTAGTATACCTATAATCATTTGTACATTGATGATGATTCTGAGATATTGCAGACAATCATTTGGGTACAATTACTACTTAGGCACTTTAGAATCCTTAACTCTTCTTTTTACAGGTGATCATTTTAGAAGACTATGCTGATCCCTATGATGCCAAGCATACGAAGGGTCAAAGGGATGCTGAAAGAGTAGGGGAGAATGATGGCTACATGGAACCATATGATGCACAGCAGATGATAACAGGTTTGTGAAAAATTGCTGGTTAAATATGGACATAAGCTTACTACTTTATCCATTTCACCCTTTTAAGCAAAAAGCAGCTTGGTGTAATGAGTAGGGAGCCCACATCAGAGTCAAGAATCTGACATATACAGGCTGTGTGATACTGAGTAAGTTAACCTCCCAGGAGCCCAGACAGCTCTAAGACTGAGATATTAGGATAGTTGCCAATCTGCACTGGTTCAGGGAGTTTTCTTCAGTAGGAGGAGCCAGTGTCATCATGAGCCACAAAATAGCTCGTTAGCATTTTTAACTAATATACCTTTCTCTGATACCTGCTTTATCAAGTTCTTTTAGAGTAGGTATCAGGGAGGAAATGAAGTGATGTAACCAAATCGTAGTAGATAGAAGGAAGGCTTGGGCTTTGTTGGAAGACCAGAGCTCACTGCCTCCTGAGGCAATCTATTCCACTTTTTTTAGAGTTCTAAATTGTTAGTTTTTCCTAAAACCGAGCCTGAATTTGCCCTTTTTGCAGCTTCTGCCCAGTATCCATAGTTTTGCCCTCCGGGACTCAGGAGAAAACATGACAGCCTTTAACATACTTAAAGATTGCTATCATGTTTCACTCCCCACCTCCACCCCCCCACCCCCATCAAGTCTTCTCTAGGCTAAAACATCCCCAGTTCTTTAAATAGATCCTCTTGTGAAATGATTTCACCATCCTGGCTTATCCTTCTCTGGATGCTCTCCAGCTTATTAGAGTCCTCCTTAACAACATGGCATACAGAACTGACCCCAAAACTCCAAATATTGTTTTTAATTTGACCTACAAAAGCAAGGACATGTGAATAATTTTTATGCTCCGAAAACATTTAAAATAGCTAATTAAAAGAATAGGAAATTTTGAGACTAAAAGATAGCATGATCCAGCTGACTTCAGAGTTCCAGAAATAATCACCTTTAAATTTAGATGCTGTATTTTAAATAGTTTACATCAGCCCTGGTCAACTCAGGCAGTCAAGTCAACAGCAAGTATTTATTAACCTGCTATGTGCCAGGCACTGTGCTGAACACCAGGGATGCAAAGAAAGGCAAAAGATAGACCCTGCCCTCAAGGAGCTCACAGTCTAATGGGAGAGACAACATGCCAACGGTTATGTGCAAACCAGATGTGTACAGGATTAATTGAAGATAATCACAGAGAGAAGGTTGAGTATATAGGGGACTCATGACCTCCTTAGTCCTGGACTTTGATTCTTTTTGAGACTAGAACCGAAGTCCCTTCTTAACTTCCTTCATATTTATGTAGGATCATGTAATTCCCAGAGTTCATTGTACTTTCAAAGGTCTTTCTGTATATTTCAATTCAATCCACTCTGGCCTCTAGGCAAGATTACTTCTTCTATGAATTAAAATGAGTGAAGAGGGGAATCCTCACTGCTAAGGTTACTATATGTATTTCCTGAATCCCTTATTTCCCTAGCTAAGCTGTTGGATATCAATGAGTCACAAGTGTGCATTAAGGAAATAATGCATTGTTTTAAAGAATAGCTTGAAACTATATAGACATGATATGATCCTGTTATTTTGCTGGGGGGAAAAAAACTTCCTCAAACTGTCTAATTTGACAAAGCTTGAAATTTTTGTGTCTTAAATAAATGTAATGGTGTGACAAATTCATTTTTTTCATAATATAGCATCTTAATTTAAAAATGATTTATTTCTAGAATTATAAAGTCAGCAGAATTATGCTATCATTTTAGTACGAAATTTTCCTAATTTAATTGCATTTGTTTTATATCTTTATGAACTTAAGTTATTCATATGTTTTTAGTGCTTTTATAGAGCAAAAAAAAATTCTTCCTTAAGTTAATTTTGTCTATTAACTTTTATTTAAACTTTGTTAATATTAAATATTACATTAAGATAAATAATGTTAAATAAACATTTATCTAGTATATGAGTGCTGACTCGAGGGATTTTTTGGTTGCCGTCTCCTCTTCCCCCACCCCCCACCCCCCCCCCAGTGTCATGAGTTTCATGCCTGGGAAAGGAATAATTGGTCACATATTAAAGACTTTGTTTCTACTGTTTTTAAAACAAATTGAAAAGCTGTCAAGCTACAGGAACATAAGCAGTCTCAGAATAGTGGAACACAAGGATAACTTCAGCATTCTGATACAGTCAGGGCAAGCTTCAGAAATGAAAATGAACTAGAACAGGAAAGCAGTGCTTCTGTTTCCTGCTGCTCTGCTGGACGGAGATAAGGAGCTGGATTCAGGGAGGGTGTAGCCTGGCCAGGCTTTGACCCTAAGGGTCACTGGACTGTGACCCCTGGTGAAACCCTTGAATGAAAGGAAGTGAAAAATGAACTGAGTCACAGTAAAAAATAAATAAATAAATAAATAAAAATTAGGTGGTTGGAGGAGAGGAATAAAAAGGATAAATTAAAACAATTAAAAGGGATGTAAAATTTCAAAAAAGGAGTTTCCCCAAGAATCTGTGCTGAATTCCTGTTTTGAGTTTCCGTTCTCCTTTTGTTTTTGTATTTTTTGTTCTCTTCCTCTTTAGATGAAATAAATCATTTTGTCTCTAGGGTTCCTTTTAAGTGGTTGTGGAAAACATACCCATGAAGTTGATTTGTATTTTTCTTATGAATGTTGTATTCTTAATGTCCTGGGCTTACAAAGGAAGTTACAGATCAATTGATCCTGCCAAATGAAAAGTGTATCTGTGAAATTTGCTATTTAAATAAAACAATCAGTAGTTCCTGCTTTCCTGCAGGAGAAAATGCAAACTGGTTCTCCTGGCTCAGGGCCTTCCACAATCTACTTCCACCTTTCTCTTCTAACTCATGTTTTATAGTACTATTCTTTACCTACCTCGTATTCTAAGGAAACTGGACTATGTGTTAATTTCCTGCCTCCATGCTTAGAATGGACTCCTTCCACACCTTTCTTTTAAAACTCCCTCTTCTTCAAGGCCTGGCTCTGATGTCTTCTCCAGGAAGTCTTCCTGTATTCCTCTTTCTCCGCTTCCCCCTCCTCAGCTGAAAGCAATCTCTTTCTCCTAGAATTTCTCCCATGCACTTTGAATGAATTTTTCCTTTATATTTATCATATTCTTCCTTATATAACATTTATGTGCACATCTTAGTACCCTTGTTAATATGTAAACTTGAAGCTAGGGATGATTGGGAGCAGGCCAAGGCAGAAAGAATCTTTATTTCTAATTTCTTCTAAGCAGCCAGCAGTTGATAAATATCTGAATTCTATCTAAAATCTAAAACTTCAACTACTTCATTCTCCTCAATTTGTAATAAAACAATAATCTATATACTTTCCTTTTTACTTTTAAAAGCCATTGGTTCCTAGTGATTAGGTTTTAGTTGCCTCCCTTGATACCTAATACATGAACATCCCTTTCTCTATCAGTACAGTGGAAATGCCTTGACTTAGCCTACCCGTGGGGCTACACAGCTGGGCAGAATAACAGGAAGTGAGTGAGCTGAACAGAAGCTGGAAATAAATGATTTGCTGCTGGGTTTTTTCCTCTCTTTCTTTTTTTTTTTTTTGTTCTGCTTAGTTATGGTTTAAAGGTACTATAGAGTTATTTAAATGTTTTAAAATAACACCATTTCTTTATAAAGTAGCACAGTTCATGGTGGGGGACACTACCCTATTGGGCTTCTTCTGAGTTACCCTTCAGTCTCTTTTCTTGATCTATAAAGTTGAGAGTATAAACCTGCTTTTTAGCTATAATACCTGGTATGAAAGCACTTCCCTTCATATTATCTACACGAGGAGGTTGGACTTGAACTGTGATCCTTTAGTCTTTCTTCATCCTTGTAACAACCCCATGTGGTAAGAAGGAAACTGAGGCACGGGAGTGGGGAGGCAGGAGGAAGCATTTCTTGACCCTAGGTGAAGTAGTTATTTAATAGCAAAGCTGAGACTAGAACCCAGATCGTCTGGGAATTTTTAAAACAAGCAGGTAAAATATGTACTTCCTTTAGAAGAAAGGTTATAAATAGGGGAGTAGTAACATAAACCATTTTCCTCAGAAGAATGTATGCAGTAAAGATTGTGAGCATTTAGCATTGTTTGTCATTAGTTCAGAGCTGCCAGATTAGTATCGGATATCCTTAAAAGAGACTTTAGAGATCATCTGGCCCCAATTTCCCTCCCAATATGAGGATTTCTCATAACATCCAGGGTTATTTTCTGGTTTTGTCTTTTAGTTTAAACACATTCAGGTTTTTAAAAGGTTCTCATCATTTGGGTATTCAGTCAAGATCGCATATGGGGAGAAAATAACTAGGGGAGGAGGAGGGAGACAGTCATGGTTCTTTAGATTTTTCACCATTTCCCTTGCAAACCTCAAACTTTGGGGTTTACAACTCAGCCTTCTAATTTTTGTTCGACGTGCAAGTATAAACTTAGACCTTTTCATCTAGAAAGAAAATTATTGTGTGGTTTGAATACTTGTAAAAATTTGTTCCAAATATGAAAATGTGTCCCAATGTCTTTGAACAGAGCCAGTATAAGAAACACTTAGTTCATGGAGATGATGTTAATATAGTAGTCAGGGGACCTTTGATTAAACCTTCCCCCCAATACCATATTATACATAAAAGCTTGATTTTTTTCAGTGGTGGAAGATTTAATCATTAAAGATCCTTGGGGCAGCTAGGTGATGCAGTGGATAGAGCACTGGCCCTGAAATCAGGAGGACCTGAGTTCAAATATGGCCTCAGACACTTGACACTTACTAGCTATGTGACCATGGGCAAGTCATTTAACCCTGATTGTCACCAAAAAGCCAAAAAAAAAAAAAAAGATCCTTATATTAAAGGAATTACAGACTAAAACTAGGGGGGAAGCCCTCTGTGTTCTTCCAGTTATCAAAATGTAAGTATGTGTGGAGCATAGTCTACAAGGCTAGAATTAGTTATTGAGAAAGAAAATTTTTTTTAGCACATTTCATATCTTACTCCATCCAGCAGCACATTTTAATTGTTACAAGGTCAGCTCTTGGTTTCAGCCCTTTGCTGCAAATGACTGTTTATCTGCAGTTAGTTAGCTGCTTTCTGTTGTCTGCCACGGTAAATGGCTTGTATCGGACAGCCTGGGTGTAGCTTCCTTTCTCCATTTCCTCCTTCTCAGTCTTATTTCCTCTCAGAGCCAGCTCTGCACGTCAGGGACTATTCTCCCTACAGGAAGGATCCGTTTGCAACCATGTGATTGTTTCTGTTACTATGGCGCCTCGAGTTCAGGACAGCCAGGTGCTGGAATGAGCTCTGAAGTCATTGAGCTTGAGGGGGTGGAGGGACCCTGTGTGTAAGTCTTGCTTTTTTCCTAATTAAACATTGTTTAAAGACCTAATAATACTTTGTATATCTCTTACCCAATCCAAGGACTTTCAGAGGAAGGAGTGCTTTTCTTTGCCTTCCTTTTGTGTATGGGTTGGACAAGGTGGACACTGAGGTCCGTTCCAACTCTCAAATGCTGTGATTCGGCTGTCAGACCAAGTCCCCGGCTCAGTTATTTCCACTTCCTCTCCCAGAACTCCATAGACATTCTTTCTGAAAAAGCAGAAAGCCATCTAACGTGGGCACTTAAGGTAAATAGACCGTGGGTGCTTGAAGTGCCTTCGGCTCATCAGTGTTTAAAAGTATGAAATGTTGAGCATTGCCGTGAAAGTGCTCCATATGAGGCCATTTCTGCTTTATTCTTATCTACCCAGGTATATTTCTCCTGATCATAAGTATAACAAACTCCTTTTCCTCTTAGTTCAGCAGAGACAGGGTTGAGTTGAGACAAGGAAGAGCAGAGAATGCCAACTGATATAATGTGGCTGGATTTTGTGAATGAATTAAATGTGTACTCTATTAACCTATCTTTTCCTGTTTTCTTGTGTTCGTGTTCATTTTTATTTTCGTATCTTATTTGTAGTTCCTTTGGAAAAAACTACCACCTTGTTTTGACTAAGCTAAAAGGAAAAAGGTATCTTTGGTTTTTTCCTAAACCTTGAACAGAACAAAGAAGGTGCCAGCTCTGGAGCCCAGGAGTAGCTGCATATGGACATTGGTCCCCTATTCATTGTAAACAGATTCTAGGTTGAGTTTTCTGTTCCCCGAGTTTGAGTAACTTTGTCCCCCTTTAATCTAGTTTTATTTCTCTTCTGTTCTTTCCTAAGCTGTAGCGTTGTTAGTGGTTCTAAAATTTAAGTAATCAGTCTTCTTCCCAGGTCGTTCTATCATGTGCATTCTTTACAAGGTACTTTACAAAAGACTTTCCTCCCTCTGGTTATTCTCCATGATTAGAAGACATCATTTCTAGCCCACAGAAACAGATTCTTCCTGCTGTTTGCAGTTTCCTACACACTGGCTGTTTTACATCTGGCTTGTCTCATTTTGTTCTCTAACATGGAGCAGACAGTTGAAGGCTAAGCTGGAGTCAGATCAGACTGCATGCTTAAAGTAGGTATGTGGCAGTGTGCCCTGGAGCTGCTGCTTCATTTGGCTACATTGCTTTACACTGGGCCTTCCTTTGGGATCTGTAGATTTCTGTGGTCTTTTCCAGAGTTAATGCCTAATGCTTATACGTCACAGGATTTATATAGTAAATAGAAGAAGGAGGGAGGAGATACTTTCCTTGTCTTGCTCCCATAGTTGTCGCTATCGGTGCTACTGGCAGAGAATCAGAGCTATTGAAACATAACTCCCAGCTCACACGCCAGCTTTGACTGGGTAGATAAGACAGAAGGATGGGCAGTTGCTTAAGTTTCATAGCCATTACAATAGCATGCCCCCTTCTAGAGAAGTGTGGTGCTGCACGCATATTTTCATTAATAAACATATATATGTACACCTTTCAGAGATAAGGCGAAGAGGTTCTAAAGACCCCTTGGTGAAGGCTATTCAACTGCTTGACAGCCCTTGCGAGTCAGGGGAGAATGGCATTAAATCAGAGACTTTGACTAAAAGACGGAATTCCAAAGACCTTCTGGGCAAACCCCCACAGCTTTATGATACTCCTTATGAACCTGGAGAAGGACCCAAACCAGATGTACAGGTGGGCACTATACAAGAAAGGAAGATGCGTTCCCCAGACAGCAGGCTTCCTGAAAATGATGAGCGACCAGCCGCAGAGTATGAACAGCCATGGGAATGGAAAAAAGAACAGATAGTGAAAGCATTGTCAGGTAAGAGGAAACCACTGAGACAGGTGATACCATTTCACCCAAATCACACATTGCATAAAATGTCTGGGCTCGCTTTTTACTTAGTAATGCTGTAGTCAACATTCATTCACCAAGCCTTTGTAAAATGCCTGCTACTTGCCAGCCAGTGTTCAGCACCAAGGAGGCGAAGACTAAGCAGTCCTGCCTTCAAGGAGCTTCCTGCTGAGCAAATAGCCAAGCACAGAGTACGGAATGCAACATATATCCAAAGAGATAAAAGGGAATTTAAGGGGAGGAGCAGCAGAAGCAAGAGGAATCAGAATAGGTTTTCTATAGAAGGTGGACCATGAGCTAAGCTTTGAAGGAAGCTGGGCGTTCTGTATAATAAGGGTGAGGAAGGGAGTATGTGGAGACAGGAGATGCACTGTTGGGTGTAGGGAGCAACAAGTTAGGCTGGAATATTGAGCATGTGAAGGAGAGTATGGGGCACATAAGCCTATAGCAGTAGACTGCGGCAGACTGTGAAGAGCTGTGAAAGACAAACAGGAGTTTTTACTTTATCCCAGAAGTGAGGGGAAGCCACTGAAGCTTCTTAAGCAGAGGAGGGATGTGGTCCACTCTGCATTTTAGGAATATCAGTTTGGTGGCAGTGCAGAGGATAAATCGGTGAGGGAAAAGACTAGAGACAGTTAGGAGGGTGGTCTGAACTGGGGTGGTGGCTAGATGAGAGGAGAGAAGGGATGGATATCAGATCTGTTGTGAAGGGAGAATCAATAATTCTTTACAAGAAAGGCTCTGGGATAGTGAACCTGGTTTACTAGAAGGATAGTATTGCCCTCAGCAGAAATTAGAAAGTTAAGAGGATTTGGGGAAAAAGATAAATTCTGTTTTGGACACATTGTTTGAGATACCTAATGGACATTCGACTGGTAATGTAGAACTGGAGCTTAAGAGAAAGACTGAGGATGGAGATCCAGATCTGGGAGTTGTCTTTTTAGAGATAGTAATTGAACCCATGGCAACTAATGAGATCCCTCAGAGATGGTAGAAAGAAGAGAAAAGGGCCCAACACAACTTGTTTGGTCAAGGGGAAAAGCTGCACGCTTGGATACCTCCATTGTAAAGACTCTCCTGAATTATATTATAAAGAAATGAGATTTTGGAGTTAGTTGTTTAGGGAAATGGTCTAAGGCTGTTTTCCTATATATTTATGTTGTATACTTCTTCTCTAAGTGACATCTTATTAGATGTTAGAATCATTTGAAAGCACTATTGAGTCTGTCTTAAGTTTCTTTTTTCTTTGCTGTTAAACCTATCGATTATATACAAGATTGCTTAGTTGACTTAAGATCGTAGCTCTGGAGTTGGAATGGGCCTTAGAAGCTATTCAATCCAACTTTTTCATTCTATAGATGAGGAAACTGGGGCCCATTTGGGACTTTTGTGTGTGTGTTCCAGATCAAACTTGGAGATAATTCACACATCTGTTAAGATCTGTTTTGTAGAATAATATTCTTTGCAATATTGAATAAAATGGAATAGACACAAAACAGTCATTTAAGGACTAAGTGAGCACTGTATTTCTCTCAGTTTAATACTTTTAAGGTATCAGATATTAAACTGACTTTACATATATGTATATATATCATTGTTCCTCAACATTCCTGGGGTTAGGGGCACAAGACTCTTACAAATGTGAAAAAGCCAAAATAACTCTAGGACCCACCCCAAACCTTTATTTTTAATAATTCTGGTCATATTTATTTAACATAAAAAACAAGTAAAACACACTGCACCCATAAAAAAAATTGCAGTTTCTAAGCAAGAGAGGTTAGTATCTCACATACTACGCAGTCTTCACTGCCACTGGTGTAGTGAATAAGATACAGTGCTCACTGAGGGAGAAAATCACATGACTGAGTCTGGATGGTAGGGAGACAAAGAGGAAGGGTTCCCAAAGAGAGAACGTTAGCCTGTAGTTCTTTAGTACACTGAAACTTTTTAACAAAATTTAACCAATGTTTATAACAAATTTATGTATGCATACTTATGGTAGTAAAGAATAAAATAGATTAATAACATGTAGTATTTATGCATTTGTGACTTACTAAAAAATTTTTTAGTTTTCTTTACATATGAGCATCCTCTGTAATTTTCCCCAGTACAGCACAAATCTCCAAAAATTCCCATTTAATTGTCAATGGCCAACCCACAAATGATCAAAACTACGAATGTGAAATCCACGAATGTTGAGGGATGACTGCATGAACATATATTTGTATAAATTGATAGTGGGAGGGTCTATATTAGTGTCAAATCAAACTTTCAATGCCTAATCCTGGTTTCCCATTAGTTTCTGTTACCTCCACTTGAATGCCTTCAGGCTATTTTTCCTCTAACCGTTAATTAGCATGGCTCTAGTTATGATCTAAGGTATAATCTAGATTCATTAAGGTGTCGGTGATGTATTTAGCAGCTGATCCTTTAATCCATTTCCTCTTTCTGATTACTTAGGATTTTAGGATTATAGATGTAGAACTGGCACTTTAGAGATTATCTAATCCCATTTCCTCATTTATGCAGCTGAGGAGACTGAGGTTTAAAGAATCTAAGTGACCTGCCCAAGACCATACAGGTAGTAAATGTCAGAGATGAGACTTGAGCCCAAGCCCTTTAACTCTGGAGCCACGCTTCTGTCTATTGTACTATGGTCAGAAGCTTAAAGTTGATCGTCTGGAATTATTGAATGACTCAAGGGCTGGATCTCGAGTCAAGAAGATCTGAGTTCAAATCCCATCACAGACATTTACTAGCTATGTGACTCTGGATAAGTCCCTTAACCCCATTTGCCTCAGTTTCCTTGTCTGTAAAATGAGCTGGAAAAAGAAATGGCAAACTACTCCAGTATCTCTGTCAAGAAAACTCCAAATGGGGTCATGAAAGAGTCAGACATAACTGAAATGACTGAACAACAACAAAATTAGGTTCCTGGTTTGTCTTTGTGCATGCTTCAAATTTATCCAGCCATAATACCAAAACATATATGATATTAAAATAAATTGATGCATTCAATAGTCTTAAAAAATATCTATGCTGTCTTCATTTATCCCTGTCATCTTCCATTTGCTAGGAATTTTTAACAAAAAAAAAAATGCCAAAACTTTCCAGAAAAGCATTATTTTCGGTGGATATATGTTTTTCTGGAACAATCTCACTACGATCTCTTTTAGTCTGAAAAGTGCAAAAGTAGGAACCTCTGAGTAAATGTGATAAAAGAGTTTGGTCACAACTAATATTCTAAAACTTCCTTCTAGTAGTGGATGGCTGCTGGGAAGTTGCATTATGTGGGATGATACTAGCAGTATAATGGAATATCAAAGATTTCAGGGCTCTCGGATCCACCAACATATTTTTCTGCTCTCTGCAGTTTTTGTTGAAGGAAAAAAATACTTCTTTCCTGAGCTGAGTCAGGATAAGCATTTTTTTCTTTGAAGCCTTACATAGACCACTGCAATGACAAGTCTGATATTAAATGGAGCCTTCCTTCCAGTCCAGTTTGAGGGATCGGAGAGACCTTCGATCAAGGAAGAAACAGTGCGACATCACCACAGGCAGAAGAGCTGGACCCAGAAGATCCTGAAACCAGCACTCTCAGATCACAGTGAAGGGGAGAGAGTGGACCCCGCTATTTGTCTGGAAAAGCAGCCGTAAGTCTGACCCCTTCTTTGACCGCCTCTGGGACTGGTGCAGAATATTCATAGGATCATAGGTTTAGAGCTGGAAGGACTCAGGAGCCATCTAGTTCACCTCTTTTTCACATATGAGGAAACTGAGTCCCAAAGAGCTTAAGACTTGCCCATGGGCATGCAGGCATCAAGTAGCGGAGCTGGAGTCTGAACCCAGGTCCACTGATGCCACATCCAGCCTTCTTTCTACTGCAGCAGACTCTCTCCTGCAGAAATAAAAAAACTTGAAGACAAATGATTATTGCATTATCAAGATAGGATCTGGACCTATGATTTCATTGGTATAGGGAACTTCAACACATTCTATGCAGTTTATAGTCTTAGACATTACTGAAGAACTGGAAAGTTAAATGACCCATCCTGGGGTGGGTATGCTTCCAAGGTAAAACTCAAACCCAGGTCTTCCTAGCTCTGAGGCTGGTACTTTCTACCAGCAGTTCTCAAAGTGTGATCCTTGGACCCCTAGAGGTCCCCAAGACTTTTTCAGGGGGTCTGAGAGGTCAAAACTATTTTCATAATAATACTATACTAAGACATTTTTTGTCTACTAAAATGCTCTTCTCTTCCATTTACATATCTGTGTGAGGCTGGATTTTCTTCATATATGTAAACTAAAACAATATGTTTGGGGGCGTCTAGGTGACTCACTGGATAGAGCACTGGGCCTGAAGTCAGAAAGATCTGAATTCAAATTCAACCTCAGACAATTATTAGTTGTGTGACATTGGGCAAGTTGCTTAATCTCTGCTTGCCTCAGTTTCTTCATCAGTATAATAGAGCTTATAATAGCCCCTACCTCCCAGGGTTGTTGTGAGGCAAATGAGATAATAATTGTACAGTGTTTAGCACAGTGCCTGGCACATGGGAAGCATTATATAAGTTTTAACAACTGTCAGTATGTATCAATGTTGGCTACAGAGGCGGATATGAGAATCTAGCTTTCTTTTTATTAAACCAGCCATCAAAGAGATTTTCAAATATATATGTAAAACAATGCCTCTTCTCACTATTTTTTTTGTTTTGAAAAATATTTTTTATAAAAATGTTATTTATATTATTACCATGTAACAGGTTTATTACTGTTAATTTTTAAGTGCAGGTGAATTAACAACTAAATATTTTTTAATGTATCCATTTTAATTTTTAATGCGGTAAATATTGATAGATGTAACTCACATTAAAAAAGCTCTTTTTGGTCCTCAATAATATAAAAGTGTAAAGAGGTCCAGTCCTGAGACCAGAAAGTTAGAGAACTGCTTCTCTCTACACTATGCTTCTTGGGTTATTTCTAACTGTATAAATAGCAATTGTTTCTGTTCTGGCCAAATAAGGGTCTTCCCCTCCCAGGTGGATTTTTTTTTCTTTTTGCGTAGGCAAAGTAGGCCATCTTTTGCCTCACTTCTTACCTAGCCTTAAATCACTGAATGGATGTTGCCTCAGACAAACTGAGACTTGGGAAAGACCTTAGCTTAAAAAAGCCAAGGTCTCCCACTGCATCCAGGGCCATCACCAGTCATCTTGACCTCTGTCTTGCCACTGTACTCAGATGACCCTGGAGGAGAAGGTGAGGCTGGTGACTTTGCACAGCCCTGCTTCTTAAATCCAATTCACTTGCAAGTCAAGACATCACCTTCCTGATGTTGTTGGACTTCTTTGAGAACAAAGGACAAACAACAACAGGTTATAGGTAGATCATGAACCTTGTATTGACAAGGCTGTGATGAATTTTCTGTATTAAGGTGGGGGTTGTACACAGACGTTGTTTGTTTGACTTAAACCTTAAACGTACTATACAGAATGAAAATTGTATCTTTCAACAGTACCTGAACTTGCTGTTCTGATAGTGTGTGATGCAGAATTATCCTAGTTGCCTAAAATGGGAAATAGATCTAGTATAAATGACTAAAGGCATCAAATACATTGCATAAACCAGGAGTGACTTTCACAGTCTCCAGACTTTGAATTTTAACGCAGTTCTACCTCCCTCCTCTCTTTAGCTGGTATCACGGAGCCATCGCCCGGGCAGAGGCGGAGAGTCGGCTTCAGCCCTGTAAAGAAGCCAGTTACCTGGTGCGCAATAGTGAGTCTGGGAACAGTAGATACTCTATTGCACTAAAGTAAGTATCTTGGTGCCCGCATCAGACTGCTGAAAGAGAAAATGAGAAATAGGCCAAAGAAGGTCTTAGATAGAGTAATGTTTAAAAAGAAGCATTTCTTTATGAAAGAGAGGTCATGGATCATAGACTTGGAGTTTGAAGGAACCGTCAGGCACAACTCCCTCACTTTAAAGAGGGAACTGTGGCCCAGAGGGGTTAAGGCTCCTGCCCAAAGACACAAAGGGAGTCCATGTCAGAGGATTTTGAATCTGGGTCCTCTAACTCTCCAAATCCTTTTTTTTTCCCCTTTGTCACATTGGACTAAATCATTCATGACCAATTTAACAGACTCTTAGGACCACATATTAGAGACAGGAGGAAGGGGGACTTAAACAGAAAAATTAAGAGTAAAGGTCCATTAAAATGGTCACAATAGACCTTTTAAACTCATAGAGTGGTTTGATTCGAAGAATACCTCAGTGGTAAAAGACTGCTTTGCAATGTCAATTGGCTATCTATGACAAAACATAAGATAGTCTAATGGTTTCTCTGTGGGAATAATTTTTAGAAAAGAGAATCAGCTTGTTTACTTTCTCTTGACCCATCAGGAATGGTTGTTGAACATGTTTTTGATAATTCAGTGTCCCCTTCTCCATCTGCACAATATTAATTGTTTTAAAATTATTTTAAGACATTTTATTGCTGCCTCTTATTTTTATGTCACTCTTTTCTGGATATAATATCTTTCTCCTCCAACCCCCTAAACTGATGTATCCCTTGTAACCCAAAGGAAACAAGACAAAAGTGCGGTGAGCGTAGCGGACAGTGTATTTGGCCCTCTGTCTCTGTAGTCTCTCTCCTCTCTGCTGAGTCCTTAGTTTCACAGTCTGTGTTCTGGGACCATTATTGTAGTTCCTTAGGAGGTCCACCTTCTTTGAATGTTTCCATCTGCATTTTTGTAGTTCTTGTGTTGTTTGCTTACTTTACGCATATGCATTTTCCCATCTTTCTCTAAATTCTATCTTCATAATTGATGGCTCAATAATAATCCATTTATTAGTTAGGATTTTTCAGACTAGCCTTGCCTCTCTTCCTTGGGGATAATGACTGAATAAAAATAAGCTCTCATTTGTAATAAAGACCCTTTGTGTCCTCTCGAACTCTGGAGTTCTTTGCCCCTCTGCATTTCGTACTCTGGGCTTTGATAATGCTGCCCTGGTTGCTGCAGGGCTGACAGGAGCTTTCCTGCCAGTAAGTGTCTTACAATGGAGAGGAGAGGAGAAGATGGCCAGCCTCTCACTCTCTGCTGCCCCTGACTGTACACAAAGACGTGTTTATGCCTCAGCCCCATGGAGTCTGGGTGTTCCCTGGCAGTCCTTGTCTCCAAGGCTAGTTCAATGGCGCTATATTGGAGGATCATTGTCGGGAGTACTAACTGCATTTCCTTCCTGAGGAAGCAGAGCCCCTGTAGCTGAAACAATCAGACTAGAGGGGGGAAAAAGGGGCTGGGTGTCCAAGCAATATTGCTCATAAAACTGAAATGGCCAACAAATATACAATGCCAGGAATAGCCCTGCTCTGCTCCTGAAACGGGTGCTTTCTGGGTTAGCTTGAGCTTTCTTTGCCAACTTGCATTGTCTGAGCCAACAGGCTGTATCTGAGCAAAACAAACTTACTTAAAACAAGGAATAGCCTTTCCAGACATGGAAAAAAATTTTATTTGGATTTATACTTTATTTTTTTGTTGTTGAAGGAAATAGGGTGGACTTTTTTTTTTTAACCTGTGTCTGGGTGCTTTAAGCAGTCTAGTAAGATTAATGATGGGATGGCATTGATAATTTTTTTAAAAAGGCTTTAGTCTAGTTAGCACCTATAATTTTTTTATACTGAAGACACAGCTTTCAATGATGAAACAAGTTTAGTAGGGGGTTGGGAAACCTCCAGTGCTTTGAGTGTTGGATGTCCAGAGCATTTCTGTTTGTGATGGAACAATGAAGGGAGGGCCAGGAGAGCCTGTCAGACTGCTGAGTACCTGGCCAGAGTGGTCTGTACTGGAGAGGGTCCCTCTAAGCCTTGCTCACTTGTGTCTCCTCCTCTGGCTTGTGTCTTGTTACAGGACCAGTCAAGGGTGCGTTCACATTATCGTGGCCCAGACTAAAGACAACAAGTACACCCTCGATCAAACAAGTGCTGTGTTTGACAGCATCCCAGAGGTGGTGCATTACTATTCCAACGAGAAGTTACCTTTCAAAGGGGCAGAACACATGACCCTCCTGTACCCTGTACACAGTAGACTACACTGACTCCACCAGTGAAAGCCTGGGGCACCCGTTTCCCCCACGACAGCAGCACAAACTCGGCCCCTGGGTGGGCTGGACTTTTTCTCAGTTATTGGTGTCTACTTTCTACAAGAATTTTCAAGGAAGTAAAAGTCTTCATTTTTAAAAAGAATAAATTATTTGCCCCAAATCTAGTCCTTAGCACCCACTTTCTTCTTCACTGAAGAGGAGAGCAGTAAGAAATGAGAGTAAGTTCTCTGCCATTGCCCAGATGCCTATACTAAATAACACTTCCTCAGAAAGGATAAGCAAAGACCCTAGCACAAAGCAAAAAGCAACATCTGCCCCATTTCAATCACAGCTGAAGAAAGGCACCCATTGCCAACATCACTTTGTTGTGTAGTCCTCCTGCACTTGGGGAGGGACCAGCCAGAAAAAGACAGGGTACTTGAGCGCACACATCACCATGGGATGGACCTTTGGGAATGGAGAAACAGTACAAAATGGAAATTGGCCGGTAACCCTGGAAAAGGGATCTCAAAAGAAGTTTTCTGATAGGTTGTAATTCAAGGAGAACTCCAAACTTGAAGGTTTGACAATAGGTTTCTTTGGGAATCAGCGTCCTATCCCCCGTCTACCTTCTACTAATGGAGTGTTTGCTCAAGAATGTGTTTTCAAACCTGGCATCTGTCCCATGTGTGTATAGCTGAGGAAAGAGGTAGGAATCACCCCAGGTCTCAATTGCTCTTGTAATTAAACATTATTAGCATTGTTCTGAAATTGTAACATAAAATAAGGAGCAAAGGGCTTGTTATTGCTGAAAAAAATTTTTTTTAAATTAAGTAGCCAAATACTATTTTAAAAATGGATAATTTGTGAGTCTTTGCCTCATTGGGGAAAAAAAACCCTATTGCTATGGGATCTTTGTGATTTGGGACAACTCGCCTAGATTTGCTTTATAAAAGTAGTACTTTGGGATTTAACAGTATAAGCTAAATTGCTTTGAAATTTTTTGTGTGTGTTTTTTTTAAGAGTTTGCCACTCTATGCCTACCAGACTGAATCGTAGTCTGTCTGCTATGGTATTTTAAAATAATTTTGATTGTGTGTGTGTTTTTAACCTCATAACAGGTTTTCTGTAAATTTTATTTCTCATGCTCTTAAATAAGGCTTTTGTGTTATCTTTATAGTAAGCCATAAACTTATATTGCCAATTTATTTACTGTGAGAAAAACATGGGGATAACAGACTTACTGTGAGAAGAATAATATTATGGTAAGAGGCTCTATAATTAAAGCTGAGCAGCTGTTTCTGTATTCTGGGGTTTACAGTTTATTCCTAAAAATGGTCTAGGTGCCTGCAAAAAGATCCAATGAAAAGTTAATTTTTATAGTCTGGGGATTTTTTTTGTGTTTGAAAGGCCAGAAAAATATTAATTTGTATACATTCTGAGGTAGGAATATCTCTGCAATCACCAGTTATTTTTCTATTGTTAACATTTCACTTCATATACAAATTTTGGCCAAAGGGGCTAATATATAAGTATACCCTTGGTTTTAAAATTCTGAAGGAATCTTTTTGATAATACTTGTTTATGTTGGTAATCTTATAACCTTTTTTTTTTTTTAAAGCATAGGTTAGAACCTTTAAAACTGAGCTCATTTTTAAGACCTCCACAGGTCATCATTACATTATGTTCCATTTTATCTAAGACCTTATTCCGTAGTTATTCTGTAAATGGGGTCTTAATGAAATGTCCTAATTTTAACAAATGCCAAAACATTGACAAAAGTTTACTTTGTGCACTAAATGACTTAAAAACTTGGCACTACCAGCTACTGTGATGAATACTGAAGTAACATTTTAAGGTATAAATTAGGTATGTAGTTAAGCACTCATATTCCCAGCACTGTGCTTTTTTTCCTGGACTTTTATTCATTGTGTTGTTGTTCAGTTGTTTCAGTTGTGTCCGACTCCCTGTGACTCCATTTGGGGTTTTTTTGGCAAAGATACTAGAGTGGGTTGCCATTTCATTGTGATGCCTATGTATTTCACTACATTCATTTATAAAAAGCCAGAAGGAAAAATGAGTTATGTTCTTCTAAAAAGTGATTTTTTAAAATCCCTGGTGACTGGCAAGAGAGGAATCTATGGAAGATGGTGACAAACCAGAAAGTTGAGTAAATTGGGGGATAGCAGTTAAGCTGCGCTTTAGATTGTGACAAAAGCCTGAGAATTCACAGCTGGGGTGGAGCCACAAAGTACCATATGTTCTAAAAACAATTAGGCCCAGCAGGGTGTCACCTAATGGCTTCCTTGTTAAGCTGCCTGGGCCAGCTGATCTAAAGCTGTATGAAAGCCAGATATTTATTGTGAACTGGGGACTTAGGGGTTTGATTAGTTTGTCTCAACTGCAAGCATCTTAAAGTTTTATTCACATGAATTAAATTATTTCCAGCAGGGGAAACAATTTGTGGTGTTATGAAGAGATAGCGTTGTCATATAGAATATCCAGTTTTCATAGTGTTTGGGACTCATGTTTTCATTTTGTTACTGAGAAAACAGGAGGCTGGGAGACAGTGACTTATCTAAGATCACACCTCTAGTTAGTAGGGGAATTGCAACTAAAATCCCAGAATTGGAACAAAAATCTGGCTTTCCTGGCATGTTTCTGCATTTCCTTGTACCCTACTGTCTCTAGGATTTGAATACAATATCCACTAATTGTGTTTTATGTCTCTTCTTCCTCCCTTATTTCTTTTTGTGTATTTCCCAGGCTACTGAGTTTTGAAGTTCACCAAACCAGTTCTTTCCCATCACCTCCCTCACCTCCAGTTGAAAGCTTATACTCAAATACTTGGGTTGATTGTTTTAAAAGGGCGAATTTCTAAGAAACCTGGAATAGTTAGCTGATTGTTATTTACAAGCACTATTTTAAAAGTAAGGATAGGGAATCATGGAAAATTTTGATATGGGTGAACAATAAAAACTTGCCCTGTTCCCTCTCCCCGCCCCCTTCTTTTTTTCCTAGCAGTTCTAAACAGAAATGTTTCTTACAAGTAAGATTTCTGAACAAGAATCTCCTTCCTAACCGTTCAAATTCTTCTGCTTTAGCAAGCAGCAGTTCATTTAACTGTCTCCTTGGGTGGGGGATAGGAGAGAAAGGCATTCAGTCTGTAACTATCACCAAATTATTTTTAATTTTTAACAGGGAGATAGAAATTTATTTGTTAATTGGTATACTGTTAGCTGTCTGTCTTGAGAAAGAGTCTGGCTTATTTGAGGATTGAGAGTTTGAGGGGGGTTTTGTTAAGTTTCAGAGTTTCAGAAGACTAATTAAGAGATTGTAAAGTTAGGTCTTTTTCAGTTTGTTTTTGGGGGTGGTTCTTATGCATTCATTCATTAGCCACTCTTTTAATACAGGTTCCTTTAAGTGCCTTCTGCCAACAAAAAGGATGGCCATTTTTTCCCCCTCATTCTAATTAAGAATGTTTTTTAGTTTCTAGGTCGTCTCACCATCCCCAGGGTACTTTTGGCCTTTGACTAAATTTCAGACACTGTTATTCCCCTGTTCCACATCTTGTTGTTTAATTTACCTTATGATTTCCTGTAGCTGTAGTGACCATATGCTCCAGATTTCCTGAAACTGTTCCAATTTCAGGGGAAAAAAAAGTATACTTTTAATGAGACTTTGCAAAAGACATATCCTCTGTCAGACCCTGTGTCTCAGTTTTTGGTTGGGAAAATGTGATCACCAGTGTCTTTTTAATGTCATGATATCTCAGGGACCATATTTCTTGATTATTAAAAATCATTACCCAAGCTGCTAGTGGTTCAGTTGCCAGCTCCTCACCAATACATGATGTCACTGGCTCAATTGGCTAACTTAAAAAATCTGGCCTGCTATTTTCTTTGGAACCTGTAACGTTATAAAGGAAAGAGTTGGGCTAATACTACCATCTCATGGAAATGAGAGCAAACTGCAGTGGGAAAATTGATGTGTTGGCCTAATTCTTATGGCTGACTGTCTGAACAAAGTGCCATTCAGAAGAGATAATATTAATCCCCTTCATTGTTTCCTAATGAATTACCGAAACCCTCTCCACGGGAGAAAGACTTGACATGGTGCTGATTACTGTAGCCACCTTGAAATACCCTTCCCTCTCAAAGGAGATTTGCATCCTAATAAACCTCTTTCCATTTCAACCAGGGTTCCTGGGATACTATAGTGCTCATCATTGTTTAGGCTTGTATAGCTTATTTTTTGTAGTTCTATTTTAAATGAAAGTGCTGGTGATTATCAGATAATTGGGGCAGATGTCTAATTTTGCCAGAATTCTTAATTGTTCAGCTGTTTTTGTAAGGGGAACTTTGACATTTTAAAATATCAGTTGATATATATAGGTTTAGCTTACATTTTTTTGAAGAATGTATTTTAACCAACTGCCTATCTTATTAATTTTTAAGTATTTATAATACAGAAATATTTTGTACAATTTCTGAATGTATTGTGCTAGCCAACATAGGCTGCACATCCCCCTGAATTCTGTTTACCCTGAAATGTAACTTAAATAAATGTCATGTCAAACAAATCATAATCTTTGGCTTATTTCATTCAATTAATTTTTTAAAATTATTTTTTGTTGATCTTTTGCTTTTTATATTATCATGGTTTTCTCCAGTATTCCTTCCCTTCCCTCTCCTAGAAGACCATCCCCTATAACAAATAGTATTTTTTTAAGACAAAAAAGGAAAAAATTAAGTGGGAAATATTGGCACAACTGCTCAGTTCATTGAAAAAGTTCACTTTGCCTCACTTGATGTAGATTTTTCCATACTACTCTATTCAACACATTTATCATTTCTTATAGCACAATAATATTCCATTATATTCATGAGCCATAATTTGTTTAGCCATTCCCCTATGAAGGGAATCTATTTCCCCCCTAATTCTTTACTGTCACTAAAAGTGCTGCCATAAATATTTTGGTGTATATGGGGACTATCTTTTTGTCAATGGCTTCCCAGAGGCATAAGCCCAGTATTGGAATATCTGAATTGAAGGGCACTTTATTTTCATAATTCCAAATAGCTTTCCAAAATGGTTGTACTGATTCATAGCTCAACCAATAATGAATCAATGTGCCTGTCTTCCCACAACCCCTCCAATATTAACTATTTCCATTTTTTAGGGTCATCTTTAACGATTTGCAGCATGTGATATAAAACTGCAGGGTTGTTCTGATTTGTATTTCTCATACTATTTGTGATTTGGAGCTTTTTTTTTTTCAGCCAAAGACAAGGTTTATTAGAACATCCTCCATATTGACCAGACTCTTAAGCAATCTGAACATTTGTGAGCTAGGTTCTTAAGGAATCTGAGACTGGAGCTTTCTTTCATATGGTTTGTTAATACTTTGCAGTTCTTCTTTTGAGAACTGTTCACATCCTTTGACCCCTTAATTATTGGGGAATAGCTATGACTTATTTCATTTATTTAAATTTAATAGGTATCTTCTCCCGTCATTGAAAACCTCCATGTGATGTGAAAGAGTCCAAAACTAAAAGGCAAAGGGGCAGACTACTGGTGCAGGGAAAGCCAGAAGTTGTGTTTGAGGGAAACATTGACTCTAGTATCGGACAACTTTGAGTTCGAATCTTGCCTCTTACACTGCTTCTCTGACATTGGGCAAGTCTTTCTTGGCCTCAGTTTCCTCCCTTATAAAATGAGGAAGTTGAATGAATTTGTCTCTGAGGTCCTTTCCAGCTCCAGAGCAATGGTCCTGTGTTTCCATGAAAAATATGTGTAAAGTTATCAACACATGACCGGGGCATCATGGCCTTATTTTTATTTTTTCAAACATCTTAACCTCTCAAACCTCCTTTCTTTTACCTTCTCTCTTCAGAGAAAGTAGTTTAAAAAATGAAATTAGATTTCCTTGTCATGGTCATTCAAGTGTCTTAACATTCATTCTAAATAGCGTATGTAATAAAAGTGAAATTTTTTTTAATGGAAAATTGTTTGTTTTTTAGCCATTCTTTTCAGTAAATCCATCAACCCCAAGTAAGGTTCTACTGAGCATGAATAACTTTGGCCACAAGGGGGTATGAGAGTTCATTGTTCTATTTTTCATACTATTTGGCAAAAGGGTAGGATATTTGACTTCAGAAAATATCATTTGAGGGCAGTATTTTTTTAGGATTTAAATTATTTTCAGGTAGACAAAGGGATCCTGGGGTGTTTCTACTAGATATTAGGTTTTCACAGACCCATCCTGTTCCCTTTGGAACCTGGCGTGTCTTCAATTGCTGCTAATAACTAATTTAGTCAACTAGATAGGAAGAAAATCAAATTATGCTTCACTTAGGCACATTTCATATAGTAGGCACCTGATTTTTTTCAATCAAATATAAACAAAACCTTTCTTGATCAGTTTTGATGTATTGACAAATATAGTCATAGTTTCTACATTTATCTCAGATTTGCAGAATTGAAATAAGCATGAGATTCATAATTTTCCAAAAGTCCACACTTGGTACCAGTCTTGGAATTAAGTTTTTACTCTCTACCTACATTTTTGTATCTTTCAGTATCCCCATTCAAAAATGGCATTGACTAATCCTAGACCTTTTCTGCCTATTATTTATAATTTCTTTCTGCATATATCAAACTTTAAAAACATGGCATGTGGTATAGATTTTAATTTTTTAAAGCAAATTATGTTGATCCAGTGATCTTGAAAAGCAATTTGCAATCGTGCTTAAAGAAAAAAGAAATTTCCATACCCATTGACCCAGAAATACCACTGCTAGGCTATACCCCAAGAAGGTCCAACAAGAATGTCCCACATATACCAAAATGTCATTGCAGTATTTTTTGTGGTAGCAAACAACTGGAAATAAAAGCACTACTCAATTTCCTCAATGGTGGTAGATCCTTTCTCACTGAAATTCTTCAAGTGGAAACTAGATGAACCCTTGTCAGGCATGCTGTCGGGATTCCATTTGGGTGTGGGTCAGGCTAGATGGCCTCTGGGGTCCCTTCCATCTCTGAGTCTATGTGATTCTGTGATCAGGGGTGCCTAAGCGTTCACATGAATGTAATGGAATGTTCCTGTACCGTGAGAAGCAATGAATATGAAAAATTCAGAGGAGCCCACGAAGACATGAACAGAATACACTGTGGCTGTCACAAGGTAAACTTAGAGAACCAAAAAATACATAAATTTGAAATTAAATCTTAGGTAATTATGGTGCCTAAACTTAGCACCAGGGAAGGTTTGAGAAAATCTCCCTTCATTTCAGAGAGAGGGTGATAGGGACAGTAGAGTGTTGTCAATAGGTCAGATGGTTTTGCGGAGCTGTTTTTTCATTTTCTCTTTTTAAAGCTTTATTGCAAGGAAAGGCTCAGTTTGGGTAGGGAAGTGGGGAGACAGATTTAAGAAATTAATGTGATATAAAACCAAAGGCACCAATAAGATAAACAAAAACTTTCCAAACTCTGTATATGAAGTGGAATTGTCAATTTGTACTAATTGAGAAAAATGTAATATATTTTTATTTTTGTCTACTCCTTTGTAACATATAGTCTTAGTGAGATACTTGCATGGTATACGAAGCTTGGTTTTATTAGATATAGTAATGATAGTAATAACAATAATAGCTAACTTATAGTACCTACTATGTGCCAGCCACTGTGTTAAGTGCTTTACATCTTTTGGTCCTTACAACAACCCTGGGAGGTAAATGCTACTAATATCCCTATTTTACAGTTGAGGAAACTGGGGCAAACAGAGGTTAAGTGACTTGCCCAGGATCACACAGCTAGTTAGTGTTTGAGGTGGGATTTGAATTCAGGTCTCTCCTGACTCCAGGCCCGGCACATATCCACTATGCCACCAGGATGCCCAGGAGAAGGAAACTGAACCAGAAAGAATAGGTCAGAAAGAAGAATTGATGGGAGAATGTCAAGAAGGGATGGTGAATGAGGTCCACTGCCGCAGATATGGTAATTGTGGAATTAAGAAATTTTTTTAAAAAATTAACTTTAATGATCATCTATCTCAAACCCTTCATTTTGCACATGAGGAAACAGATATTACCAAGGTCTCATAGGTAGCAGAGCTGGGATCATAACCCAAGTGTTCTGACTCCACCCTCTCCCCTCCGCCACCTATGTTCTTTCCACTACACTATGGTGTCAAGGAGGGTAGGACTGAGAAGGAACTGCTGGCCTCATCAAAGAGAAGGTCACTGGTATCAGAGGAGCAGCTTCCATGGAATGGTAGGGATGGAAGGAAGATTTCAAGAGAATTAATTTATCTTTATCACCAACTAGTGTAATCATAAATGTGATAGGTTTAAGGAAGTTTTCTCCAGATCTCTAGGGTAAGGAACATAATGAACCAAAGAAATGAGGGGGGAAAGCCTGATTTCTTTTTTTTTAGGGGTTGGACCACTCTCAGGATGAATCCAGACTCCATGTGAGTTGAGCCCAGAACTAGAGCTCTTGATGGGAGGGTCCCTGGACCATGGATAACTTATGTATTAATTGGATGTTCCTGAAGTGCTTATAAATACTGTAGTATGTTTTAAATTAAATGGTCTTCCGTGAAATTTTTGCACTATTAATTTTTTTTATTAATCCTTTCTTCAAAGAACGAACAGAGAACTTGAGCTTCAATTTCAATTATATCAAATTCAAAATTTGAAGGGATATGAATTAGCAAGGTTGGGGAAATTGTGGAAATCTGTAAAAGCTTATATCGACAAGTAATGAGTGAAAGAAGCTGTTTCAGCACAATGAGTACCTGGAGAGAATCTGATCCATTCTGTGCAAAAGAAGATGCACTTTAAAATAATTGGGATTCCCCGCTGTTCCCCTTTCTTTCCTTTTTAAGCCTGTCAGTTGTTCCTATTAGGTAGCAGTGATATAGTGGAAAGATGACTAGTTTGGGCTTCAAAAGACCTAGGTTCTAATCCTAGTTCTATTAGCTGTGGGCCATGTACATAGGGGCAGCTGGGTGGCACAGTGGATAGAGTGTCAGGCCTGGAGTCAGGAAGACCTGAGTTCAAATGCAGCTTCAGACATTTATTAGCTGTGTGACCCTAAGCAAGTCACAACCCATTTGCCTCAGTCTCCTCATCTGTAAAAATAAACTGGAGAGGAAATTGGTAAACCACCCCAGTATCTTTGCCAAGAAAACCCCAAATGGAGTCACAAAGAGTTGAACACAACTGTAAAACGACTGGACAGCAACAGTGCACATATTAAGGCACCTAACGTTTGTTGAATTGAACCGAATTGTATGGTCTTAGCCAAGTCACTTCCCTTGTCTGGGTTTTAGTTTCCTCACCTATAAAATGGGAGAAAGAGGGAGAGTTGAATCAGCCCAGGAGTTCTTTTGTGTCATGGACCCCCTTTGGCAGTCTAGTGAAGCCTGTAAGACCCCTCCACAGAATAATGTTTTTAAATGAATAACATATTAGGATTACAAAGAAAGATGATTGTATTGAAATATAACTAACAAAATATTTATTAAAAAAAAAGTTCACCAACCCCAGATGAAGAATCCATGGACTAGATGATCTCTAAGGT